AGTAGTATTCCATTGTGTAGATATACCACATTTTCCATATCCACTCACCCGATGATGGACAAAAGAAAAAAACAAGCAACCCAATCCTTTGCCCATTTTTTAATTGAGTTACTTGTTTTTTTTGTTGTTGTTGTAAAGTTGAGGGTTTTTTATATTCTGGATATTAATTCTTTTTCAGATGTATATTTTGCAAACATTTTCTCTCACTCTGTTGGTTGTCTTTTAACTCTGTCGATTGTTTCTTTTGCTGTGCAGAAATTATTAGTCTGGTATAATCACATTTGTTTATTTTTCCTTTGGTTTCCCAGTCTTATGGGGTCGCACACATGAAGTCTGTGCACAGTCCTACGTCCTGAAGTGTTTCTCCTTTGTTTTTTAAAGAAGCTTTATTATTTCAGGGTGTATATTTAATTTTTTAATCCATTTCGAGTTGATTTTAGTATATGGTGAGAGGTATGGGTCCAGTTTCATTCTCCTGCATGTGGATATCCAGTTATCAAAGCACTATTTGCTGAAGAGGCAGACTCTTCTCCAGTGTATAGGCTTGGTGCCTTTTTCACACATCAAATGGCTGTATGTGTGTAAGTTTTGTTCGGGATTCTCTATTCTATTCCGTTGATCAATGTGTCTGTTTTTATGCCAGTACCATGCTGTTCTTGGTTATTATACCTTTGTAGTATAGTTTAAAGTCAGGTCGTGTTATGTCTCTCACTTTATTTTTTGCTCAGAATTGCTTTAGCTATACATGGTCTTTTGTTATTCCATATAAATGTCTGGATAGTTTTTTTACATTTCTGAGAAAAATGTCATTGAATTTTTGATGGGGATTGCATTCAATTTGTATATCACTTTGGGTAGGATGGATATTTTCACAATGTTAATTCTTCCAATCCAAGAGCATGGGATATCTTTCCATCTTCTTGTGTCCTCTTTAATTTCTCTCAACTGTGGTTTGTAATTCTCTTCATAAATATTTTTCACATTCTTGGTTAACTTTATTCCTAAGTATTTTACTTTTGTTGTGGCTATTGTAAACGGGCAAGCTTTCTTGATTTCTCTTTCTTAATGTTTACTGTTGTAGAATAGAAATGCTAATGATTTTTGTGTGTTGATTTTGTATCCTGCTAGTTTGCCGAAATCATTTATCAACTCCAAGACTTTTTTTTTTTTTTTTTACCAGTAAGGGGATTGCAACCCTCAGCATGGTGTTGTCTGCACCACGCTCAGACAGCGAGTACACCAGCCATCCATATATAGGATCCAAACCCGCGGCTTTTGCGCTACCAGCGCCACACTGTCCTGAGTGATCCATGGAGCTGGACCTCCAAGATTTTTTTTTTTTTTTTTTTTAGAGACTTTAAGCTGTTCGATATATAGGATCATGTCATCTGTAAAGAGGGACAGTTTTATGTCATAATTTCCAATTTGGATGCCTTTTATTTCCTTCTCTTCACTGATTGCTCTGGCTAGTACTTCCAATACTATGTTGGATAGGTGTGGTGAAATGGGTATCCCTGTCTAGTTCCTGTTCTTAAAGGAAAAGCTTACAGCATTTCCCCCTTCAAGATGATATTAACAGTGAGTTTATCATATACGGCTTTAATTATGTTGAGATACTTTCCATTTATACCTAACTTATAGAGAGTCTTTATCATGGATGAGTGTTGAATTTTATTAAATGCTTTTTGAGCACCTATAGAGATGATCCTATAGTCCTTCTGCTTGATTTTATTGATATGGCATATAACATTTATTGATTTGTGTATGTTGAATCAATCTTGCATCCCTGGGATGAATCCCACTTGATCATGGTGTATAATTTTGCATATGTGTTGCTTTAATCTGTTAGCTACTATTTTATTTAGGATTTTTGTATCTATATTCATCAAGGATATTAGTCATCCTCACTGGGTTGAGATGGTATCTCAGTGTGGTTTTGATTTGCATTTCCCAAATGCTAAATGATGTTGAGCATTTTTTTCATGTGTCTGTTGACCATTCATATATCTTTCTTTGAGAAACTCCTATTTAGCTCCTTTACCCATTTTTTAATTGGGTTACATGTTTTATTGTTGCAAAGTTGTTACAGTTACTTGTATATTGTGGATATTAATCCTTTGTCAGATGCATATTTTGCAAATATTTTCTCCCACTCTGTTGGTTGTCTTTTAACTCTGTTAATTGTTTTTTTTGCTGTGCAGAAGCTTTTTAGTTTGATATAATCCCATTTGTTTATTTTTCCTATGGTTGCCTGTGCTTTTGGGATCGTATTCATGAAGTCTGTGTCCCGTCCTACTTCCTGAAGTGTTTCTCCTATGTTTTCTTTATGAAGTTTTATTGTTTCAGGGTGTATATTTAATTTTTTAATCCATTTTGAGTTGATTTTAGTACATGATGAGAGGTATGTGTCTAGTTTCATTCTCCTGCATATAGATATCCAGCTATACCAGCACCATTTCCTGAAGAGGCAGTCTCTTCCCCAGTGTACAGGCTTGGTGCCTTTGTCAAAGATCAGATGGCTGTAGGCGACAAGATCCTATATGTTGTCTTTGATTAACTTTTAAATGACTGCAACCATCAAGAAATAAAGAGAGTTAACAAATTGTTTCCACTGAGCACTTGTAGAACAACCAGCATTGGAGCACTTAAATTTACTGACATATGCATAGGATTCTTAGATGAAGAGACATAACCAAGGACTTAAAATAAAAGACAAAGAAGTAACATAGATTCACTATTTTGCTCTTTTTGTTTCTGGTATTCATTTCCCAGATAGGATCAACAATGCCATTTATTGATAGATATCATGGGATAGGACGACATGATATTCAGCTATGATGCTAGCAAACTTCATAACCCATTAAATGGAAAGAAAAGATCTCAAATAACACAAAAAATTTGGATATATTTTAAGAGATGGTTACAAGTGCACAAAGAGGAAAGTGTGAAGGTATTAATCAAGGTGTATTTTTTGAAGAGAACATTTTTAGCACATGTGTGCGGATCTGCTTGGTCTTTACACCATACACAAGTGGATTGAGAAATGGAGGGACCAGCAAGTACATTGTGGAGAACAGGATGTGGATATAAGGGGGGATATGAGAACCAAATCTATGTGTGAAGAAGGAGAAGAAGGCAAGGAGGTAGAACTGAAGGAAGACACAGATGTGAGCGATGCAGGTATTGAAGGCCTTAAATCTCGCCTCCTTCTGTGGCAAACGAAAAACTGTGATAAATATCTGGATATAGGACAATGTGATGAAAATGAGGTCAAACCCTCCAATAGTGAAGGCCACAAACAAACCAAAGATTTTGTTGACCTGGACGTCTCCTGCAGCCAGTTTCACAATGGCCATGTGTTCACAGTAGCAGTGGGAGATGACTGTTGTGTGATAAAATTGAAACCGACACTTTATCAGGAGGATGCATGGGGCTGCAAGAGTGGCAGCCCTGAGTACTGAAAAAGAACCAATTTGGGTGACCAGCTGGTGGGTGAAGATGATGGTGTGTCTTAAAGGATAACAGATGGCCACATAACGGTCCAGTGCCATGGCCAGCAGAATGCCTGACTCTGTACACTGGAATGTGTGGATGAGCCACATTTGAAGCAAACAGGAATCAAAATAGATTTCTGGCATATGAAACCAGAAGACACCAAGCATCTTGGGGATAATGCTGCTTGCAAGAGCAATGTCTGTGGCTGCTAGCATGCCTAAGAATATGTGCATGGGCTCATGGAGGCTGGGCTCTGATTTGATGATGATCAGAAGCAAGGAATTTCCAACCATTGCTAGGAGATACATGGCACAGAATGGAATCCCAATCCACCTCTGCACAGCCTCCAGGCCTGGGATCCCTATGAGTGTCATCACAGCAGGCATGAAGACTGTGACATTGGAAAATGTCATAGTGTCCTTGGACTTCCTGCTGCAAAACAAATTTCCTCAGTCAGTGCTACTGATGCTGTTCTACTTCCTCCTTTGAACCAACGTCATCATATTTAGTCTCTCTGATTTTGTTAGATCTCTAACATCAAATCATCCTCTCAGTCATATCATTGAAGAGAAAAGACAGACACATAGAGAAACCTCACCGGTTTTAATAATGGCATCCAGAAGCACTGTACCATAACTGAGCGTTACCTTCGTGTGGCTCACAGCATTAGAACCAACAATATCAACTGGATAAAGAGTTAACTACTGTCCTCTCAGTAAAGTTTTTGCCAAACCTGTGGGGGGAAAAATAAAAAGTCTTTATTTTTTTTGCGAATTGCATTCTAAACACAGTTACATGAATCTCTCTATATCTCATATTTCAGCTACTCTTCTATTACTTTATTATTCCCAATTATTTCAAATCAGGAACATGTGATCAGACCAACAAATTCTCATACTNTGAACCAACGTCATCATATTTAGTCTCTCTGATTTTGTTAGATCTCTAACATCAAATCATCCTCTCAGTCATATCATTGAAGAGAAAAGACAGACACATAGAGAAACCTCACCGGTTTTAATAATGGCATCCAGAAGCACTGTACCATAACTGAGCGTTACCTTCGTGTGGCTCACAGCATTAGAACCAACAATATCAACTGGATAAAGAGTTAACTACTGTCCTCTCAGTAAAGTTTTTGCCAAACCTGTGGGGGGAAAAATAAAAAGTCTTTATTTTTTTTGCGAATTGCATTCTAAACACAGTTACATGAATCTCTCTATATCTCATATTTCAGCTACTCTTCTATTACTTTATTATTCCCAATTATTTCAAATCAGGAACATGTGATCAGAACAACAAATTCTCATACTCTGACGCGTGTATTAGTGTAATACTTCCTACGAAAGAGAATAGAGATAGAAAAAACTGATACCTGGGAGCGTATATATTTGTGTATCTGTATCTACTCATGTCTTCTATATCTATGTAAGACTGGATGCCCTCCCTAAAGAATATGCAGGAAGTACTGTAGAAAAGACAATTCAAATCCATGTAATTTTGAGGATCTGGGACAAAGCACCTTGCCATGTTTTAAATTTCTATTGTGCAACTGTATTTTCTGTTTCTATATTTCCAACGGCTGAAATACTTAAAATGTTTGTGTGCTTAAAATACTTGATTCTGAAATATACTTTACAGAATACATAAAGAGGAAGA